GCTAATGCTGGCTGCGTTTTGGTTTTTCTTGTATGAAGGGGGAGAACGACATCGGCTCGGACGGTGATGTTGCATCATGGGACCGCATGAAATTTTAACGAAAATGAGTAATTACCGTAGCGACATAAAAAATTTTCGGTGGCTGGTCGTTCGCTGAAAATGCACACTAAACAATGGAAAGGACGTTGAAAGGGAGATAGAACTGAGCATTCTTCACGCCCATGTTCAGGGAATTTAGCCTTCAAGCTGGATTTAGACCACACTTGGATATAGAACATAGTTGCAAAATTTCAGCCTTGTAACCTGTCCGGTGCCCGAAATCATCACTTCGTACAAATATCTTCAATGTGCCTCAAGCTATGATGCAAGTATAATTCAAAACTGCATTTAGTATTCGAGTTCTTAGTTGGACAACAAATATTCTGACGGAATTATAATTATCGTTTCCCGGGCCATTTCTGAAATGGCAGTATACCAACTCGGATTTTTTTATGTACCTGCATGTATGATGCAAGAGCACGAGACAACTGAGTTTGAAATCTTTAACTTACGCGTAAACAGGAACTGCTCTGCAAAGTTCCGGCTTTCTACATTTATGATTCCCGAGACTGTTCCCTCCCAAAAAATTTATGTTTTTTTTTGGTTTCCCTACATGAGATCCAGGCATAGGTGAGCGTTAATTTTAAAACAAGAGAAAACATGGAATGTGCTTCCATAATTTCAACTTCCCAATTTTTCCAGTTGCCGAGTTGAAAGTGAATGAAAAAATCCATTCGCTTCCTAACACACACACATTCGGACATACACAACACAACACACGCACGCATTTAAATACGCAGGCAACATCCTGACAAAATCCGTTTCTACGTTTGCAGAAATGCATAAAAATTCATTGCCTCATTTACTGGTCATAATGTTAACCTCTGGAAGGAGCGTCTTTGACTCACGCGTTTTCATCGAGTTCAAAATTTCATCGACAAACGGTTCTGAAGCTGTAAGTACATTTTCTTTACCCATAGCACTGTCCAAAATGTAATAAATTGCAGTGAGACTGATACGGCCTTAGATACGTTAAAAATACTTTAAAAATATAATATATGCGCGCATTTGGACCTGGTTCCTAAGTTAAAACACAATGGAATTTGCAAGTCGCTTTCAGGCCATCGAACCTTATTCTGCAATAAACTAAAACAACAAAATCCAGACCTGGCAGATCACAATATTTCTTATAATACTAATCAAAATTTTTGTCTGAAAATCACAAAAGTGAAAGCGAAGTACACTTGACGTAGGCGTGGGTAACGGTTAAATCTCAAATCTTTTGTTCATTTGTAGGCAAGAGATATCCATGTGAATTTCAGCTTCCTATCTGTTGTGGTCCCCGAAATTGTTTCCCGCTAAAAAATGTTATCTTCTAGGCATTTTTACGTGAGACCTAGGTGTACACAAGCATCGCCTTTAGGATGTTCGGAACGCACGAAGGCCAACGTACTTATGAAATTTCAGCTTCCATGCTTCTGCCGTTGCTGAGATGAATATGGGTGATAAAAATCCGAATACTCACACAGACACGCACACACCTATCAACAATCTTTAACAATACGCGTTATTGCTTTTGCATAAAGCTGCAAAAAAGCACGCTGAAAAGAGGTTCTCGGTGTGTATGCATGTATGCGTATGTTACTCGCATTTAACTAACCAACTGCAAAAGCTAGAAAGCTGGAATTTCAGAGGACATTCAGTGCAGTCTCGACAACTTAAAATCACTGTCCACTTGTATTTGGCTTTTAAGTACGGACGCATGAAAAGGCATTTTTTTTTGACGAGGAAACGATGTTGAGAACCAAGCAAGATGATAAGCTGAAAATTCATGTAGATGTTCTCTGCCCGTGTGTGAGCAAAATATTTCAAATTCCACGATAAAGAAGGTCAACGCCACACGTGCGGACACATTAAAGTTGAAATTTAGGCACTTTTGGTAAAATGCCTATTCGAAAATCAGACTTTAGATCAATATTTGTTGTCCACGTTCAGGCATGTGGACGC